CAAATTAATTAATTAAAGAAGATTACCTCTTCGCTTGTCTAGATGATGCTTATTGGAACAGCAGGCAGATGCAGTCTGAAATGGATCTTAGTGCACAATCTTAGGTTGTTTCAGGCTGTTTGTGGTATTCCAGGAAAATGCTAACTCTGCGTACAGGCACTGGGAAACGTGAAGGTTCTCTGGGGAACTTCAGATTCATTTTTACCAGGCTCCTAACAGATGCTGATCAAATATGTTGGACCAAAACTGGAGTGTCTAAAGTTAGACTAAGTACAGATTTAGGAGTCTTACTAAATGAAGAAGTCCTGACGTACATTACTGTCTATCTTCAGCTCCTGTTTAACTTAGTGGGATTTGCATTTGATCAACAGCCTAAAAGGTCAGACATCTTTTAAATAGGAACACAATCTCAGTTTCAAAGACAAGGAAACTGGAGTTTAAGCTTTTATGAGTCTTGTGATGTGTGGATATTATCTAAAATTGACTAAGAGTATGGTAAAACCAGTTGGTCTGCTTGAGTTTAGACTGAGTTTCTAACCAGATGTGGTAGGGGACAGGGAGAAGAAGAAACCATATTTTGCTACTTGGCTTTGTCCCAGATCCATTTTAAAAAAAAAAAAATTAACTTTTTGCTTTTTTGTTTCCTTAAATGTTATTACTAGAATGTATAGCCTGGTTATGGCCCAAGAAAGCCAATTTCAAATATACTATATATAATATGTAACACAAGAATATGCATATTTTTGAGAAAAATCCCATGTCATCATCTTGTCAACAGAACTTTTTTGGCACATCTGCGAAACATCATGCAAATTCTGTTGACTTCTGAGGTCAGTTTTTATACTGTCAATAGGTTGCACCATTTAAGAAGCAGCTTTGACTCTGCTGCTCCTGAGTGAGTAGCAGCTCTGTTATGGAATGTATGTACGTTGTATATAAACATGCCAACTTTTAATGCTCTAGATGGACTGGGCAGCTTTCCAGGTCTTTATATGCTTTGCTTAGTTGAAGCCTGAGGAGTATTCTCACATGTGTGAGACTGATACGATATGCGTTTGCAGTGGTATGCAATATAATTATAGTTAACTTTGTTTTGTTCTATTTTAGATAGCCATGTGTAGATTGACAAGATGTGCCAATTCGAGTCTTTAACAGTCAGCTTTTCAAGTATGTATTTTCCTTTAGCTTTGTGAGATACGGGGAAATTCACACTAAATTGGGAGCCCTGTAGCGACACAGCGAACAATTATATTGTCGAGGATAGCGTATGTTTTTAAAGACAGTCTCTTTTTGGCGACTAATAAACAAGCTGGGGGAGTTGAAGGACAGAAGCCTGGTGCCAAGAAGCAGCACAGTGATGAAGCCGAACGTGGCACCTTGCACCTGAGACAAGGTGGCTGCCCGTCGGTGCGGGCAGGGGCTGGCTGGGCAGCGGCTCTGGAGGAAAAGTACTGGGCAACAGGACTTGGTGAGCAACAAGCCAAGCTGTCAGTAGCCCATCTCACCATAACACCAGCAAACTGCAGGCTGGGCAGCGTTAGCAGGGATGTAGCCAGCATGAAGAGGGACCCATCTACTCACTGCTTGCTTGACTGCATTGCGGGGTGGTGTTCAGCATGGAGAAGACAAGGCTAAGAAGGAACCTGCAGGCTCTCGCAACCTAAAGAGAGGGCCTGACCCTTTTCAGACGTGCAGAGCAAAAGGGGAAGAAGAGGTAACATCACAGACAGCACTGAGTGAATTTCGTAAGAGAAGATTCTTCATCATGAGAGTGGTTTTTGAGCCCTGGAACTGGTTGCCCAGACATTGTGGAGTCTCCATCCCTTAAGACTTTCAACACTTGCTTTCGCAAGGCTCTGAGCAACCTGACTGAACTTAAAATTAGCTCTGTGTTAAACAAATGTTTGGACTAGAAGACTTCCAGGGATGCCTTCCAACCATTTTTTTTTCTTTTTCCTCCTGTGATTCTATATCAACTTGAATGTGAGATTTAAGTTTTCTTGTAGAACATTACACAATTCCTAATGAGAATATGTAAACTGAATGGATTTCATTCCAGATTTCATAAACTTCTCCTTCTGAAATCCCTTTAAAATCCTTAATTTAATGAATTACTCGAATGTTCAGCTGAATCTTCTTCATGGTGAAGATGCTGTACAAACTTAATTTCAATTTTTGTTTGGTTTTGAAAAACAAGGTTAGAAATCAACCTTACAGTTGTCACAGAGGGCCTTGACTGACTTGAAGGTTTGAGTAGCTCTTGATGCCTGTCCGCTGATACGGCCGTGCTGCTGCAGGTCTTTGTTGTAGATAGGCCAACTTTGGGGTATAATCTTTCTTTCAGATAGATACAAATGCTTGCCATCGGTCAGCTTTGCTGTTTTAATACTCTTTCAATTTAACTCCTTATTTCTATGTTTTATTGACTTGGTGCTATTGACAGTGTAAGGTCTATGGGTAGTAGTCATCGGCTGAAACCAGTGTCTCACCAAAGCACTTAATCTGGGTGAAAATGAGATTTTATTGGAGCTATTCTGTTTCTGCTGCGTGTACTATTGCTCCTTCTGTATAAAAAGAATTTATTTTTTTAGAAGAGAAAAATGTATTTAAAGTCTACTCATGCATTTCTAGTTATGTCTTGATACAGGATCTTCTGCTATGATCTACTCATGCATTTCTAGTTGTTATGTCTTGATACAGGATCTTCTGCTATGATACTGAGTAACAGTATAATACTTGAGAGCTTTTGTCTCCATAAAAAAATAGAGAGCTTTTTCTGCAGAATTTAATGGTATAGAACCCAAAGCCAGCAGCAGCTCCCAGCTTTCCATGCTCATTGTTTATTCTCTTAAGATAAATCATTTGACTTTGAGTTTGCATTAGTGACAGATTAAGCTGCCAGTGTAAACATTGTAGGATTGAGTATTTTGAAAGATGCGTGTAATTTTGTGAGGGAGCTAAGCCCGCAAGTATCCGGAAAGCAATGTAACGTTGCATGTGTTCAAATAATATTTTGCAATGCTCATGAGAAAAGGAAGTAAGTATTTAGAAAAGTATTGGTGAAATGGTAACAGTTTATGATTCTTAATTTTTGTTTACTGAAAATAATTCTTGACACATGGTGCTTTGACTGGAATTTACATGAAAAGTTGATCCTGGAAGTAAGAGAGAGACACTTGTGTTACTGTACAGCCAAAAAATGCCATTATTTATAATTGGGTAACCTTTCAATTTACTTTTGACAGTAGAATTACGCTAGACTGAAAATGTTTTGGTTTTAAGTTTCCAAATTTGGGGTCTATTCGTGAATTGCTAGACATCTTCAGTTTTCAGCAGAAATACTTAGTTCTTCTCCATTTCCTGCAACTGATGTCCATTTATTAAAAATGGAAACCATAAAATTTAGAATTTGAAATCGTGATGACCACCACCATTCTTTACAATGCTGTTTTTTTCTTAGTCCTCACTGTCAAATTATCTTTCTTTGTGTTAACACTGTGGGGATGATGACACAAATTTTGAACATAGGTCCACCCTGGGGGATGCTAAACCTTCATGAAAAGGGAGGGGCCAGGCACTGTTTACTGGGCAAAACCAGCCTGGGTTGAGTGAACCTCTACATGCAACCCAGAGAAATAAATTCATGGTAAAATGTAGTATTTGTGGCAGCACTACTGAGTGCTGGTTATTTTATTTCTATTTAACCTTAATGGGGGTTTTTTTCCACATGTAGACCCTGCAGACTTTTTGGTCAGTTCAGTTTTCCTATACCTTTAATGAGCAACATGCTTTCCACAAGTTTTCTGTGTATAACAACTTTAAAAGAAATAAAAATGTATCTTTCCCTACCATAAATATCCTTTGTGGCATTGAAAATTTATGCAGCTTGGCATAGATCTTGGTCTTGGAGAGATCTTGCAGCGCTAAGTAGAAAATTGTGTTCCCTACTGCTTGGATGTTAGGTTTGTAAGATCTTTGTATCTTCTTGTCTGTAAGGGTCTAACACGTCTTTGGTTTAACAGTGACATGCTTCTGTATCATGAAACACATGCTCCTTAACTGATTTAAATTTTTGAAGATAACTTTGTACTAATTTATATGCTGAAGAAATAACTCTGATGCTTGGATACAGGTCAAAATTGTCTTGTTACGAAGACAAGCAAAGTTGATGGAAACAAACTTTAAACAAGGATATATACCAATTACGTATTTGTATTATAGAGGTTGGCAATAATGTTTAACTTGGCTACATTTAATAAAAAGTTAATGGACAAATGTAATGTTACTGAATTTGTTTGTTTAAGAAACTTGGTCAGTGTGAAATCAGGTTTTACATAAACTTGGTGGAAAATCAAATTAATCTCATACGGGTGTTAAAAGCAATCCTTCGAAAGATATTTTTTTTTTCTATGTGTTTATGGATGAGTTTATAACAGGGCAAACTTAATTGTGTTCTAATCGAAATGAAGTTTTTTGTGCAATCTGGTATGAAAGGGTAGTGCCAGAGATGAAGGATGTTGAACAATGAACTAGGTGAGTTGTTAGATACAGAAGGTAAAAAGCAGATTTCAGCTTTCTTTTAATTATTGCTTTAGATGTATTTAGCTGTCATTCCAGCAGAATGATAAATTTAGCCGTAGTACAGTAATTCGGCAATGCAGCTGACAACATCTCATAAAAATTGCTGTCTTCTTTAAAGTGGTTTTGAATTAGGCTATTTAGTGCAGATGCTTTGAAACTATGACTTATGATTTCTTTTATCCACTTACCCATTTAATGTATTAAAAAATTACTTGTTGATTCGGAAGGTTTAATATAATGAATTGAAAGCCATTTCTTCTTTGTGTCCTACTGGAAAATTTGACCAGACCATTTTGTTCATATTCCTGTGAAATTTGCATTAATTTAAAATGCGTTTTGTTTCATGCTCCTTCTGAATTTAGATTCCTGTTTCTGTCTGAGGCTACTACATCACTAAAACAGCTGCTCTTCCTTCACAGGCCTATGAAGAGTACACCAGCAAACTAGATGCTCTACAGCAGAGAGAACAGCAGTTATTGGAATCCATGGGGAACGGAACAGATTTCTCTGTCTCCAGTTCAGCTTCAACAGACACAGTTGCATCATCTTCCTCCTCTAGCCTCTCTGTAGCACCTTCATCCCTTTCGGTTTATCAAAACCCTGCTGATCTGTCACGGAGTAACCCTAAGTCTCCACAGAAGCCTATTGTTAGAGTCTTCCTGCCCAACAAGCAAAGGACTGTGGTGAGTCATTTTCTATTCACATACTTGTAACCTCAATATTTCCTGTATCTCTCTCTCTCTGTATGCAAAAGTTAATTTAGGAGCTGAAAAAAATACCTGTGTGGAGGTCAAAGAGGTTGCACGATCAGTATTTGTGCTCTGCCACACTCAGTTGTTTGGTTATGTTCAATGTTTTCTACAGGATTAACACAAAGGTGTCCATTACAGCAGTAATACAGAATAAAAAACTTTCAGGAGTTCTATAACAATGAAGATACCTCAAGAAATATTTTTCTCAAATCAGCTTTCTTGGATAAATAGTAATTACCATTTTATAGCGGTTAGGAGGGGTCACAAAGCTGTTTCTTGTATTATACAAAATTATTGATTGGTTTAACAGGGCAAGATTGGGAAACTTCAGTGGTTTTCCTGTTGTCAAAGCTACTGGCAGCGGTGAATGCTTCAGTGCAGGTACCAGCCTCCTGCAGCTATGGAGGGCTGCACAGAATCACTTGGGGTCTTGCTCTGTTTTGTTTTTCTTTTCCTCCCAACTCACTGTGGTGAGTGATGTTGGGACCCCGATGCTATCAGGCCCTGTGTAAAGGCCCTGGCTAGAGGAGGGACATAGCTGCTATTAGGAGGGGCAAGAATTGTTGCCTGCAGACTGCTCCAAAAATAGTGTTTATCAGTTTTGACAATGTTACAGTGGTTTCTGGAGTCGTGGAGGAAGAGATGGCTTTTTGCTGACTATTTAATTGTCCATTATCGGCAGGATTTTTTTATCAATTAAAAGCTGCCAACTGAAGAGTCTTAATATACACTTCAGAATAATACACTGCAAACTGTGATACGTGAAATTACTGACAAGGCGTGGTGTAGACTCTATTTTGCAGGGCGGTGCATACTCCTCACTTACAGGGGAGCTGTAGTTCCAGAGAAAGTGGAAATGAAGGGATGGCACAGCCAGTGTCCATGCAAAGCCAGTGCTTTTCGTGGCAGTCAGTCAGGTGTTGGCTGTCACTGGGCTGTGACTGCCTGTGGAAATTGAGTTGCTGGCAAAGAGGAAAACATAAAGTTGCTAATGCCCAGCACTACTCAGTTTACTTTTCCCACTTTACTTCCCTCCCTCCCTCCTCCTGCCCCACCAAACAAAAGAGATTATAGGATTTATAGTGGGAACAACAGATTAAAGGACAGTTGTTTTCACCTGATTTACTTTTTTTTTTAAATATTGCTTAATTGTTAAAGATTGAAAGTAGCACTTGGTTTTCAACTAGAGAATGGGGGTTTAATGTAAACTGACCACTGTGCAGATGTACAGTGTTAAGCGAGGTGATTTTGTCGTCTGCCTGTGAGGTATGGCTAAGCACGTAGTACTACCCACACGATGAAGTTTGAAGAGAAGGTGCTGGACTTTCGTGACACTCTGGTTTCTTTATCTTGTCTTCTGTTCCACCCTGTCTGGCTGTTGCAGCCGCAGCCCCTGTCGTGGGGCCCACAAGTTGTTTTTGTTTCTTTCCTGCAATGGCTTCACGGTATATGGCTTCACGTGTTGGTCTGTGCATTTCCTTTTCTGCCTCTCCTATGTGTTATCTTGTCCTCTTCTCTAAGCGATATATTTCTATTCTTCTTTTCTCCTCATCAGCAATATTTCCGTTCTTCTCCTTTCCCTCTCCTCTTTTTCACCTCCTCTTCAATTCTTTTATCAGAGGTATTGTAAGGTTTTTCTCAAGTCTGAGCTCTGTTTTGCTTTTGAAGGAGTCATTTTTTATAAAGAATAGTCTATAATTATGAAATATACTACATTAAACTTGCAGGCAAGAATGATTTCTTTTTTTTTATGTTTACAAGTGTATAGTTCACCAAATTTGAGTTATTTCTCATATGCAAATGTGATTACAAGTGAGTAAAAAGAGGCAACTGAATTTCAGTGTGAACCAGGTGATAGAATTTTGGACCAACACAGAGCTATCTTGCCTCATCTGAGAGATGGCTTTGTGCATGTTGCTCGTCCATTCTAATTGAAGTAAAACAGGTTGTCTTCACCCAACACGCCTTTAAGTTCCAAAGTAACAGTAACAGATCAGCGTGATGTGCTCAAAAATATGTGTGAGAGCTCTTTCTCGGACTATTGTTTCTTCTCTGTTTTTATCCCTAAGCTTTGGGGTTTTTTGGTGGCTATTATGATTCGCTGGTATCAGTCATGCTCACTAGGAGCTTGCAGATTTAACCAGAGAGATTAAGTTCAAGAATACAAGCTTGTCTGTTGCGGTGCCTACACTAAGAGTTAGCTCTCTAGCTTGAGAAAGTGCTGTCATTTGATGGGTTAATTGTAGTTCTTAGTAGTACTCAGTGGCTGGCAGCAGGGCAATAGGAGTTTTTTTCCAGCACTGAATCTAGATGCTCTTTCCTGGCTATGGGAGACCAATATGGTGTAACGTGGGTGTAGTCAGGGAGAGGCTCTTACTCCTGTCCCCAGCTCTCTACTGCAGTCTAAACACCGTTTGCCTTACCAGTGTAGCCTTGCAGCATGTTTCCAGGTTGCTAAACGTGGGACAGTAAGAGTAGAGCTTCAGGAAAATCTGTAGCCTTGTGCTGTGGCAATTAAAACAAACAAAAAAAACCCAACCCAACAAACAAACCAAAGCCAAGTAGTGGTACCAAAAAAGGAGTGGTAGACAGGCTAGTGGTGGAGGGAAGGTGCAAGAAATTATGCTAATGCAAGTGGAAAATAAGGAGGTGATCAGTGACAGCCAGTGTGGCTTCACTAAAGGCAAATTGTGTCTGAAAAATTTGGTGGCTTTCTACAACAGTGTTACAGAATTGGTGGATAAGGGAAGACAATTGACATCATCTCCTTGGACTTGTGCAAAGCATTTGACACTGTCTCACATGACATCCGTGTGTCTAGATTGGAGAGAGATAGATTTGATGGATGGACCACTCGGTGAATAAGGAATTGGCTGGATGGCCATGCTGAAGAGTTGCAGTCAACAGCTCAATGTCCAAGTGGAGACCAGTGATGGGCGGCGTTCCTCAGGGGTTAGTATTGGGACTGGTGCTGTTTAACATCTTTGTTGGCAACAGTGGGATTGACTGCAGCCTCAGCAGGTTTGCCAACGACTCTGAGCTGTGCGGTGCAATTGATGTGCTGGAGGGAACGGATGCCATCCAGAGGGACCTGGACAGGCTTGAGAGGTGGGCCCATGCAAACCTCATGAAGTTCAACCAAGACAAGTGAAAGGTCCTGCTAGTGGGTCATGGCAATCCCAAGCACAAATCCAGTCTGGGCGGAGAATGAATTGAGAGGAGCCTTGAGGAGAGAAGGATTTGGGAGTGTTAGTGGATGAGAAGCTCAACATGAACCAGCAGTGTGTGCTGGCAGCCCAGAAAGCCAACTGCATCTCAGGCTGCACCAAAAGAAGCGTGGGCAGCAGGTCGCGGGAGGCAATTCTGCCCCACTGCTCTTGTGGGACCCCACCTGGAGTAATGTGTCCAGCTCAGGAGTCCTCAACACACGAAGGACATGGACCTCGGGAGGCAATTCTGCCCCACTGCTCTTGTGGGACCCCACCTGGAGTAATGTGTCCAGCTCAGGAGTCCTCAACACACGAAGGACATGGACCTGTTGGAGCCAATCCAGAGGAGGACCACAAAGATGATGAAAGGGCTGTAGCACTTCTTCTGTGAAGACAGGCTAAGAGAACTGAGGTGTTCAGTCTGGAGAAGAGAATGCTCCAGGGGGACCTTAGAGCAGCCTTCTAGTACTAAAATGGGCCTACAGGAGAGATGGGGAGGGGCTTTTTATCAGGGAATGTAGCAGTAGCACCACAGGTGTAATGGTTTCAAACTGAAAGAGAGGAGATTTAGATTAGATATTAGGAAGAAATTCTTACTCTGAGTGTGGTGAGACACTGGAATAAGTTTCCCAGAAAAGCTGTGGATGCCCCATCCCTGGAAGTGTTCAAGGCCAGGCTGGATGGGGCTTTGAGCAACCTTTTCTAGTGGGAGGTGTCCCTGCCCAGGGCAGGCGGGGGGTTGGAACTCGATGATCTTTGAGGTCCTTTAAACCCAAACCATTCTATGATTTTATGAAGTCCCTTTAGTCTCAAATCTGGTATAAATGTGTCTGTAGATGCACTTGAGTAAAGGAACAGCCTGCAGGTGCAGGGCCGCATAAGCTGTAGGTGTGGAATCGCTGGCTGGGAGCTCAGGTTGACAGGATTCGGCTTCATATACTGTATAGCCACTTGGAGATCAACTCCAGTTCTGCTAGGAGAGACCTGGTTTTGGTTGGAATTGTCATACTAAATAAGCAGTTGGAAATACATACTCAGGTCTGGTCAGCAGATACTGCAAATTAATGGTTTGGCTTTGGCTCAGGGAGAGAGCTGACTCTTTACTTCTGTTTTACATGCTGCTTTCATCTAGTTGTGTTACTGGGTTGAACTCTTTTTTATAGACCTAGTAAATTATCTCTGTTTTAGAGCTGGGAAATGGTGCTTATAGGAACTTTGAAACTTGACACAGTGCTCATGTTATTGAGAAAGTCGGGAATTTCTCGTGTGGTGACTCTCAGTGTAGTTACTCTCTTTTCAATGTTTATTGATCCTATGTGTAGTCTGTTGAAAACAAAGGAAACTCCAGAAGCAAACCCAATTCAGAAGGAATTGCAGCTTACAGTGCAGTTTTAACTGCCAGTAGTCAGGCTACTAGCCTAAAGATCACCCAGCAGTTTTCAGTGAGCACTGAGGTTACGTGCTGTAGTAGACTTCCTTTGTTCTCTCAATGGATGGAGGAGTGTGGCACACGTCTTAGTCTTCCTCTGTAAAATCTGGCTTTAGAAACAGACCTGTTTTAAAACAGACCATTAACTGAGCCATTTGCTTACGTAGCCACAGTGGGAGTTCAGGGTTTTCAGCTGTACCAGGTAGCTCCTGGTGTGGTGGGTTAAAGCAGGAAGGAGATTCTTTGTGAAAATACACGGTACCTGCCTTTAGGGCCTCATCCTCGCCCAGGTC